TGATCTTTTTTGTTCCAAAATGTTTGAAAATTTATGGATTTTCAGTGTGTATGGACGAATGCATGAATGCATGAGACTCAAGTGTGCAAAAGAGAAAATAAGAAAACAAAACACCATGTCAAATACAATACCCTCCCCCACTCTTAAATTACACAGTCTCTTGTGTAATGGAAGCTTGAAAGAAGGTGATAAAGGATGCTCAAAATGAATACAGAAGGATTCAGAAGGAAAGGAGTGGAGTTGTGTACCTTAAAAGGAGTTTTGGCAGAATGGAGGATTGCATCGGTCACTCCAGACTGATGCTGTTGACCGATTCAGTTATAAAAACTTCATGTCCATTCACATCGATCACCCATGACAAATACTGGTGATCGATGTAGGCGTATCCATCAGTATTGACTGATGCTGTTGATCGATGCTGCTCCTGCCTAATGACATCGGTCACCCTTGACCGATACGAGTGACCGATGTAGGCCTTTAAACACTCGTTCAGTTTCTATCGGTCACTACAGACCGATACTCCTGACCGATATGAGTTTGCCTACACTCGGACTGATTCCATCGGTCACTCCTTGGCCGATGCAAGTGACCGCTGCTGGCTAGAACATGCATCAACTCAGCTAACAACTTGCTTTAAACCCCACTTGATCCTACGATCAAAATAAAAACACAAACACAAACATAAAATACAATAATATGTACAAGGATAACATGGAAATACCTCCCAAGTGTGCTTGTTTAACGTCCTTAGCTTGACTTTCCTTGGTTGATCACTCTTGTGGAGGATCCTCAAGGTTGATGTCTACATCATCTCCAAGGGACTCACTTGCCATGTATGACTTCAGCCTGTTCCCATTCACGGTGAAGTCTTCTCCATCCTTGCCAAACAAAGTCACAGCTCCATATGGTAACACCTCATTGATCTTGAATCGACCTGACCATCTTGACTTCAGCTTTCCAGGAAACAACTTCAACCTTGAGTTGAATAACAGCACTTGATCGCCTGCCTTGAAGTCCTTGGGCTTTATCCTCTTGTCATGAAAGACTTTTTTCCTCTCCTTATAGATCCTAGAACTCTCAAAAGCTTCAAGGCGGTTTTCTTCTAATTCATGCAAGTTGATGAGTCTCTTTTCCTGAGCTGTCTTAATGTCAAAGTTCAACAGCTTTGTTGCCCACAAGGCGTTATATTCCAGCTCAACAGGTAGATGACAAGCCTTGCCATAAAGGAGTAAAAAAGGGGTTCCGCCAATGGGTGTCTTGAAGGCTGTTCTGTAAGCCCACAAAGCATCATCAAGCTTATTAGACCAATCCTTTCTTATAATACCATATGTCTTCTCTAAGATGGCTTTAATCTCTCTACTAGACACCTCTACTTGACCACTTGTTTGAGGATGGCAAGGAGTGGCAACCTTGTGTTTAACACAATTCTTCTTGAGCAAACTCTCAAAGACTTTGTTGATGAAATGACTTCCACCGTCAGTTATCACACACCTTGGAACACCAAACCTTGGGAAGATGATTTTCTTGAAAACTTTAGCACAACTCTAACATCATTTGTTGGACTCGCAATGGCTTCAACCAACTTTGAGACATAATCCACAGCAACAAGGATGTACTTATTCCCATAGGATGAAGGGAAAGGTCCCATAAAGTCAATCCCCCACAAATCAAGCAGATACACTTCAAGAATAGAGTTCAGAGGCATCTCATCTCTTATGGAGATGTTTCCCTTCCTTTGGCATGCATCACATGAGGAGATGTGAGCCTGGGCGTCCTTGAACAAACTAGGCCACCGAAAACCAGCTTGAAGTACCTTTGAGGCTGTCTTGAAGGTTGCAAAGTGACCCCCATAGGCTGAACCATGGTAATGATGTAGAATTCCTTGAACTTCTTCCTCAGCTATGCACCTACTGAACAATCCATCATTCCCTCTCTTTTAGAGATAGCATTCAACCGAATAGTAGTGAGAGACATCTCTTAAGAACTTTTTCTTCTGATGTGAGTTGAGGTTCAGTGGTATCTGGCCAATAACAAAGTAGTTCACAAAGTCAGCATACCAAGGCAGTTTGTTCTCTTCTATGCTTATCACTCCAGCTGTCTTCACTCCTAAAGCATGCAACTGCTCTTCTGGTAGAGTATCATTGATTGGAACGAAATTATTTATCCTCAGTCTTGAAAGGTGATCAGCAACACCATCACTACAGGAAAAAATTATAACTCGAAAAATGCTATCTAACGATATAATAACGTTATAGAAAACGCTATGTCAGAGCCCGTGATAATAGGTCAGACACTTTAGATAGCGTTTTTTAACAATGCTATTGTTTGTTTATATAACATAGCGTTTTATTCAATGCAATAAAAGTATTTATTATAACACTTATTAATTGTTATTAATAATAACTTAGACAACGGTTCAGAACTGTTATTTAAATTTCTTTTTATAGCATTTCTGTAAATGCAATCGTGATAATTTTTTGTTTTTAACAATTATAGCATTTCTATAAAATGCAATCTTTCAACAAATATCATCCTGGGTTGTGAGTAATTGGAAATACGAAAACATTGTTTGAAAGATGCTATGTAATATATAAGTTCAGAACATTATTCTCAGAAAGAGCAGCCATTAAAATACTACAGCAAATCCCAAATGTAACATAGCTAGAGGATGAAAATATGCCCTACATCAATATGAGTTTATCATTAGGCCAGGCCACGGTGTTTCCTACTGCATCGGATATGAAATCAACTTCAGAGTTTGGTCTCCATACCCGTGCACCATCCACCTTTGAAACTTCTATCCAGACCTTACTCGCATTAGGATCTAAAGGGACGAAATTAACCTTATCTGTTGGATCTGTTGAAGAAACACGACCTAGTGCCACTCTCTGTGCGGAGTTATCACAAGCTAACAAAACACACTTCTGTTTTGCACCTTTCACTAGTAAAAAAACTGGCTATAGTCACATAAATGTCACGATCACGTTGTGACTTTTTTTTTAAATAGTCATGTATAAGTCACAGAATAGTCACGAAAACAGTAAAAAGAGAAAAACGTGACATTTTGTGACATTTTCGTGCCAAAACTAGCCACCATTTAGTCACAAGAAATGATGTGGCAAGGTTAGCCATGTTTAGCCACAATGATTTCGTGAAAAATTAGTCATGACTAGAATTCGTGACTCCACCGTGGCAAGTTTGTTACGGTTTATCCACGTCAACTGTTGTGACAATCTAGAATAATTGACCATCACGGGTGCTGCACCGAAAATGTCTTGTCAACCAGAGAGATAGAACGAATATATTTTAATATTTAGTCATGCATAAAACCGTGACTTTTTCCATGGAAATATAGTCACGGTTTAGTCACAAATCTACTGTGACTATCCTATATGCTAATTTTCGAGTATAAATAGATAGTTTCTCTATACCCTTATTCTCATTCTAAAAGTTATAGTGAAACAGAAAAACTCTAAATCTCTTTCTTGGCCTCCCTTAGCTGCTGAGTTCCTTCTATCTTTTTGTTGGCATCTCGCTCTTCCCTTGTTGCCATGTCTGAGTCGTCGTCTTCCTCTTCCACGCTGCCCTTTATGGAGTCCCAACCTAAGGTTTGCAGCCTTCAGCCAATCCCGGTGGTGGTGCATCCCCCAATTCTGATGCCAGGGCCCCACGGCTTCTTTGCGCCTCGCAACTGGAGAACCGCCAATGAAGAAGAAACCATCTCGCCACTTAGGCCAAAGTGAGGGCAAATCTATTCTAACTCTTTAAAACTTGTTTTACAAACTGTTTTCAAAATTACCCACTTGCATAGTTGACATCTGACTTGTAGCTTTTTCTTTCGCATGTTAAACAGACACTCGTGAAACGGCTAGGAAACATGTTACACCCACGAAATGGGCACGTTCGCGATTCAACCCTCCTGCTCGCACTTCTACACAAGCTGAGGTGGATTTTACATTGGCAATGGACGTGGTTAAGCCTTTACAAGCTGACACTACGCGCCATAACTCTGATATCAACAGAGCATCGACCTCACAAGTCCTGCCAATGCGCAAACGTGGACGCCCTCACAAGCACCTGGTACCTATGGCTATGCCTGGAACTTTAGAATGTTATCCGAGAATCGAGCAAGGTAGGCGTTCAGTTCAGCAGTACTATTTGGACTATACACTTGATTCAGAAGCCAATGGTAAAGTTGTTTGTTGCTCAACTCACCGTGCTATGGAATTTCGGGATGGACTTACCACAGGAAATCCGCAACCGGGTTCCTAGTCCGACTAAGGACGGGAGGTGCAAGCAGACTAAGCATGTTCTCGAATTTGCTAAGGCTGCTGAGAAGGAGATTCAAGAAAAGTGGGAATATGTGTACGAGCATGACCTTGAATCTGATCCATTCGAGTGTGAAGTGCTAGGCAACTTTGACTAACGACTTTGATACTAATTATAGTTCTCATTAAATTTCAACATATTTTCAAGCATATGTTTCATGAAACTTTGTTTTTTAATATTATAATAAAGTTAAGATTGTCTTATGATTTATTAAAATTATAAGATTAAGATTTAAATTAAACATGCAAGCTGTAGACTCTAAAATGAAACCCTAAATCCTAAATCAAACCCTAAACCCTAAATCAAACCTTAAATCCTAAAATTAAACCATAAATCATAAAATTAAATCATAATCTGAAAAATTTAAAATTTAAATTTAAAACTAAAATATAACTAACATGTAAACTCTAAACTCTAAAATCAAACCCTAAACCCTAAACCTATAATCAAACTCTAAACCCTCAATTCAAATCATAATATAAAATTTTTAAACTTTTAATTTCTAAACATAGTATTTATTTGTTCTTGTAAAAAAATAAATCAAAGTTATTTGTTTATTTTTCTAAAACCATCTAATTTGTTTTTACCACCCCCAAAATGTTGGTTTTAAAACCAATTAATTTGGTTTATACCACCCAAAATTTTAAAACCAATTAATTTAGATTATACCACCCAAATTTTGGTTCTCCGCAATTAATTTTAGTTTCCCACAAATTGTTTTTGTTTCGCACAAAATTTCTTGGTTTTCATTCTCCTCCTTTACCCGGTTACTTCTCTTTCCCTTAAACATTCGAGAACTTTCTTTCTTGCTCTCTTCCTTTCGCCGCCGGCTCGCTTGATCTCTTCTTGTCGCCATCAGTTCTCTTTCGCTCTTATCGGTTCTCTTCCTATCTTCCTCTCGTCGTTGGTTCCCTTTCTTTCTCTCTTCGTCTATTCCCCTCGCCGACTCTTAATCCACAAATCCTGATGGCTCCTTCTGGCCGTGGCCGTCGCAACTCAAGCACCGCCGACAACTCTTAGACGGGTATGTATTTCTCTCTTCTGCCTTTCCTTTTTTTTCTTTTGCATGGTTAGTCTTCTTATACTATGTCTGATTAAGAGCAAGGGTTTTGATTGGGTCATCGCTGTTTGAAAATCATTCATTGTTATTTGAGTTTTTGGATTTGGTGCTTGAAATGATTTCTCGGTTTGTAACTTCTCGATTTGCAATCAGGATTCTCTCCGATTTTGATTTCTTCTTTTGGGTGATGATTTGATGAAATTAGTTTTTAGGTCGTGAACTCTCCGATTTTGATTCTCTCCGTATCAATCGATTCTTGTATGATTTATGGGTTTGACTAGTCTTTGAATAATGGGTTTGTCTAAATGCTTAAAATGTTTATTGATTTATGAAGCTCTTCCTTCGACATGCTATTTCTGGAGTTTCTGTTGGATTCATTTTTGTAGCTTAAAGTGTTATCATTCATGATGGGTTTGACTAAATGCTTAAAATGTTTATTGATTAAAGTGTTATCATTCATGATGTATCAAGCAATATCACATGGATTCATTTTTTTCTTTGATGCATTTACTTGTTTGTTAAGATTTCATGTTACTATAATGTCAAGATGTGTTTATAGCCAATTGTTTCTAAAAAACATGTTATTGTTATCAATGCAGGTCATGCCATGCCACCAGGAGCTGTTGGATCTAGAAACTCATCTGGTCCTTCCATGCCACACAAAGCTGTTGGCGCTACAAGTGCTGCATCTTCAGCTGCTAATAACAACACTCACATGACTCTGGAAGCATTAATGAATACTCCTTCCAGAGAACTTCAGTCACACCTCCATCCAAAGAAACTCAATGGCGCTTTATGGTAAGTCATCTACAAACTCAATGGGCTTGCTTTGCAAACAATTGTTAACTTTTTTCTTCTGATAATGTATAATATCTTGATTCTAATTCCTCTTATGTCAGGTTTGGTATAGACCCCTCTGTTCACAAGTTTATCAAAACAACTTGGCAAGCTTACTACATGGGACCATGGAGGAGCTGGAAATTCGTTCCTGATGAGAGGAAAGATAAGTGGTGGCATACTTTTGTGGTAAGCGCTTGTATTACGAAAGGAAAGAGAATATTTTGGTTACTAACTTACAGCTACTAATGTTTCTTTTTCAATTGTAGCAAAACTACTACTGGGAGGCTCGGTTTAATGATACTGTCTACAACAAATGGAAAGAGCACACACAAACTACGATTTGTGGCAAAATTAGCAAGAAGAAGAGAGAAAACCAGAAGCCCAAGTACATAAGTGAAGCTGACTGGACCACTCTGCTGGAGTATTGGTCAACTGAACCGGCAATCAAGAAGAGCAAGGATGCAGCTAAATACCGCACATCAAACCCGGATGGAAAAGGAATGCACAAGCATTGTGCAGGTCCTCAAAGTTTTTTGATGATCGAGTATGATATGGTTAATGATTTTCCTTGTCTTTCTTTTTTAATCTTTATGATGTCGTATTTTTCACTCATGTTTATATTTCTGTTTTCCAGATGGTGGAGTCTGGTCTTGATGAACCACCACCTTACACAGAGCTTGTGCGAAAGACACACACACGAGATGGAAGTTTCATTGATGGTCGAGCCGAGTCTCTTGTCCTTGAAGTAGAGGAAGCCGTAGCACAGATGGCAACTGATTCTATCAGCCAAACCACCTCAACCGCTGCAACTCCTTCTCGCCTTCTCCTTAACCAAGAAATTTCTCAAGGTAATCTCTTATTCCTTTTAGGTTAGCTGTAAACTTGTTTTGATTTGTTACTGTTTATGATAGTTGTAGTTTGTGTTTATTAACTTGTTTCGACTTGTTGCCGTTTTGGGTTTGCTGTAAACTTGTTTCAAGTTGTTTCATTCTTTATCTTTGCCTCTTACTTAGTGATATCAGAATTTTTACCTCTTAAGTTCCGATTCTGGTCTTTAAAATTTTACTAATAATGATTATTCTAGGTTTCATTCTTTGAGCATTGGGATTAAAATAATCTAAGTATCATATGTCTCTTTGTTGTTTTTCCAGCGAGGTAAGATAAGCCGAGGGCGAGTTTATGGAATCGGCAGTGTGCAGCAAAAGGATTTCATCCCCACTGCGTCAGTCCATGCATCTCTTCAACGCAGCTTGGATATGGGCATGCACATCTCCAATGTGGAGACTCATTCTGAAGCTGTCGTCAACAATGTTGAATCTCTGAAGTCAGAGATGACTGAACTCAAGGAAAACATGGTGGCGATGAAGGATGAGATGAAGGAGGAGCTAGTGGCCACAAGAGCCGCACTTTTTTCATTCCTAGAAAAGTTTGGAGTCACTCAACCTCCTGCTGCTGCGCCTACACCATCTGCTCCTGCTGCTGCGCCTACACCATCTGCTCCTGCTGCTGTGCCTAGACCTTCAACACCTTCAGCTGCTGTCTCTAATGCTACACTTACAGTGATTAAAGATAATCAAGCTATGCTAGATAAGTGGTGTGCAGCTTATTTAGGACACTAACTGTAATTTATAATCTACGTATCCTTGTTAAAAACTTGTGTGATTGTTGGTTACATGAATGTACTTCTGAATGTATGTTATTGGTTTTAAGATTTTCCATTTGTTTCATGTTTCAGTATTCAATTTCGGATTTCAAGCTATTAGAATTTTTTAACAAAAAAATGAAATAGCTATGATTTTAATCACTAAAAGCACTGTAGCTATATAATCACGAAATAGTCACTTAAATTGCGTGGCAATACTTGTCACCGTTTAGTCACTTCAATTACGTAACAATATTAGTCATGATTTCGACAGTCATAATTTCAACACAGTCATTTCGTGGCAATATCAGTCACGAATTAGTCACGAACATGTCGTGGTTATAAAGACACAGATAGTTGTGTGATTATTTCGTGACTAATATTGCCACAAAATGACTGTGACTAAGTCATGACTATTTAGTCATGAAAAACCATGAAATAATTTTGTTATGATCGTATAGACACGTTTTTTTCGTGACATTTCGTGGCTATGAGAACATATAGCCACAGTTTTTTTGCCTTAGTCATACAATATTTCGTGACTATAGCCAATTTTTTTACTAGTGTTTGCTGGTACCAATGCTCTGACTACCACTAACAATCAAAATTTACAACACATTCACAAGAAGAACATCACAAGCAACATTGAACAATTGCAGCATTAAGACATGAGTTACAAAAAGTTACCTTAGGTGATTCTTTGGCTGAGTCTTCCCTTGTAGATATATTAGCTAAACATATCTTATTAGCATGCCAAGCAATATTACCATTAAGTGCATCACCCATCACTGATATCTCAGCACTTGGTCTCCACAAGAAAGCATTATGTTTAACCACAAGCTCAACCTTCACACTTGCAGCATTCGGACCTAGAAGAATATCGTTGACCATTTCTTTTGGGTCAGTTGAACACAAAATATCCTCAGTAACCAATTCTTCATCTAAATTCCAATAAAAAATGTGCACTTTTCCAGTTGATTCAGTTGTAGCCTATAAGATATATATTCAACCTATATTAGTTATGTAACCATTGACTTCCAATGTTAGATAAGTTCAGACTGTAATTACTTCGGTTCCATAAGTATTTGTTCCACCAGGGGACTCACTAGGATTGTCCAAAATCACTTTATCGCTAGGCCATGCAATTCTCAATCCTACAACTTGCCCAAGTGAGACAATTGTTGGTGTAGGTCTCCAGACATATGCTTCTGAGTTTGTTGCGGATTTCACAAGAACAGCAGCCGCATTAGGACCTAGTGGGATGTGACCAATTTTGTATGTTGGTTCAGTAGAGCAAAATTCTCCTTCTTCAACAACAACATCTTCAGACGAATGCCAGTCCAGTAGCTGACACCTAACTCCTTCTTTGCTAACATCACTTAATTCAGACTGCGAAACTCATTGACGGTAAGCCTGACAATTTGACATAACCAAATCACATAATTTAGTATCATGTTGTATATACAACATACAAAAATTAAAAAAACTAGCTTGAGACCTTACCTTTTTACCAGCTAAGTCACTAACTACAAAGCGTAATTCTTCAAGCTGGTTGAGCAACTCTGCTTGTGTAGCTTCAAGCTTTTAAACATGTGAGTCTCTAGCCTGTAAGAATGCTATCTTTGTAACAGTAGCGCCTCTGCCCATCCCTCCGACTTTTCCAGGTTTGTCTTTTCCTAGAACTTGGCTCACAGCATCTTCTCTGACATTATCAGTGGAGTTGGAGTCCATCTCACTATCGATTGATATAATCTTTTCCTGAAAATAAGATACTTTATGTTAGGTAACATAATAAACAGCAAACATCATTAAGAATTTGATTCTTTCTTACAATAGTCTCTGCGTATTCTGCTCTCACAGGTCTCCCGTCTGAATGCATGTGCCCAACTACCCTAACCTTGCTTCTATTCACTTTCCTAGGATCTGAACTCTTTTTTCTACAAATAGAAAATACTGCTTAGTAGGAAGTATTTGAACAAGAGACATTGCTTACTAATTTGTTCTCAAATACAAGTGACATACCATCTCATCTGCTAGGCGAGTCATTCCTTTGCGACTTGTTGTGTTTTGAATCTGAGCCAGGCGTAATTGCCTGTACCTGTCACTTTTCACCTACACAATCATTTACCACAGGATTTCATAACTAACCCCCAAATACATAAATAAACCAAATATGAAACCTTGAAATAAATGAACCAAATATGATACCTTAAAATCCGAGCTAGTTATTTTCTTCACCCATGTATTCCAAGCTGCTAAGGAGTGAATTCTGCTTGGTTTTAACATTTGTAGTTGACTCTTATTCTTCGCTGCTCTCACTTTTGTAACAAGTCTAGATTTAGAAGACCTCCATATACAACCCATCTGCTTAAAAACAGATTCTTTCTGCTAGTCTTCTTTCAGGTTAAACCTTCTCTGAAAACAAAATTACAAGTACTACGTGTAGTTAGAAGTTGGCGAATATAGTCAGAAAGTATCAAACTGTCAAAAATGTACCTGTATTTCTTCCCACACTGTCTCTCTTGTCTGACCATCGTGGAGTCTCCAATCTTCAAGAATTACTGGCACATGCTCTCTCACCAGAGGACCAAGAAATGAGGAAAGAGAAACTGATCCTTTACCAACGTGTTCACCTAAAGGAGTAAATTCTACTTCTACAACGTCTTCAAGGTTTGCAGAAACTCTACGCATTGTGGTAGGCCATCTTGTTTTCTTCTTCTTATTTTCTGATTGTCGTGTTTGCACTTTTCAGTACTCAAAGAAGCTCCTTTAGGCACTCTGTCTTCCTCATCATGACACTCCTCATTCTCTTCTTCCTCACCAGATGGAACATTATCACCTTCTTCAGATAGGTTATCAATATATTGTTGTTTTGTTTCTTCAGAGACATGTGTCTCCCTTTCAGAAAAATCAACAGGAGCATCATCCTCCACCCTCGTAGACTTGCTTTTTTTTGCATTCACCACTACTAGAGGACTTACCTCTAAACCTGCTTGGCGCTTGCTGCGACGTGTTATTATAGCATCTCCATTTTTCACCATTTTGGATAATCTGAAACACAACCAATTTCTTAATTAGACCTATAAATCACTCCACTATAAGAATCCCCTCACAGTTATCCCTAACACAATAATTCTCATCATCAGAAGATTGATTCCCCAAATTTTCAATTGATGGGACTGATGATTGTGCAGATACAAACTCCTCTTCAAAATCTAGTTCGTGATATCCTCTTGGTGGTGCCCTCATGACAACATACCACGGTGAGGATTCATCTTCCCTGGAGTAAAATACTTGCTTTGCTTGTGATGGTAGAATGAACGGATCTGAAAGATATGATGACTGGTTTACTTGAAGGTTTACAAGTGTTAAACTGTCTTCCTCTTTGACTCCATTCTCTTTATTAGCCCAAATACATCTAAATAAAGGAACCTGAAACATGTGGTAATCAAGCAATATGATCTCCTTTATCACTCCATAGAATGTTACTATGTCTGCCGTTTGCCTAGTATCTTTGGCACTAGTTCTGCACATAGAGAATGCCTCGTAAGTTACTCCACTGTTCTGAGTCTTCCACTTCACATCTTCCGTATGGAATCTATGTCCATTAATAATGAACCCCTTATATGTTTATGCAGCGTGTCTTGGGCCAAATGCAAGCCATCTAAGCCTGGTGGAATGTTTCTTGGGAGTTTGTTGGTATCTACCACACAACAGAAAAATAAAGTCAATGAAAGATTAGTGAATTATAGCAAAAAATATAGCCATCACAACACAAAAGCTATACCTTTTTTTTATCCACTGTGAAAACCTCTCTGTATGATACTTCCATAACAGAATTTCATTTTTTGTGCATCTGCCATATGTAGCTTGGAGTTCTTCCAAATGAACATACTTTCATAGATTTAAGTGAGTTTCTCTTGTGTAATAAAATAAACAGATAAGAATATACATGTATTAAAAAAAATATACTTAGATAACTTGCACGTACTCAATATATGGATCCATAACTGCTGTACTCATTAGAACATAATGATGTGCTATGTCACGCTCTTTATCTATGAGAGTAACTTCTGTAGCTTTGTTCAGTGTACGTCCTTCAAGGAGCAGTTGATCTGCCACAATATCTTCATTGCGGTTAATGGCTTCTTCTACTAGCACAAATTTCTGTAGAAACTCTAAGCAGAAAGCAATGCATTCCCCTACTAAGTATCCCTCAGCCATACAGGCTTCTGGCCTTGCAAAGTTCTTTACATATGCTTTGAGTGTTTTCATGTACCTACAGCTCGATTAGAAAACTTGTTTAAAAATATTGATCACATCACAATTTACTATTAAAGTACTTATTACACAAGAGAATACCTTTCAAAGGGGTACATCCAGCAGAAGTGCACATGACTGCCTAAGCGCGCTTCCCTTGCTAGATGAATAGGAAGATGAAATATTATATCAAATAGTGAAGGAGGAAAAAATCTCTCAAGTTGGCACATTGTCTCCACAACTTCTGACCCTAATGATATCAGCTTCTCTGGATAAATAAGTACATGATGATCATGTGACTTCAAACTACCTATACTAGGAGGGTTCATTGAAACATAATTAACTATATTTGCACAATAGCCATCAGGGCCTCTAAATCTATATAACCTTTTGCAAAATATACGTTTTTCTTCTCTAGAGAGCCAATAAGCAGCTGGAGGCAAGTATGTTCTCTTCCCACATACCTCTGTGTTAAGATCACTGCGAATTCCCATGTCTTGTAAATCTTTCCGAGCTTTCAAGCCATCCTTTGATTTATTATTATGCATCATAGTAGACAGTAGTGCATCTGAGACGTTCTTCTCCACATGCATTACATCAATATTGTGACATATAGGCAAATCCTAACACATGATGCATGAGAAGTTAGAAAAAAATTTGATCAATTCAGTTAGTATCAAAATATATGAAAACTATATGAAAACTACTAACCTT